ACAACATATTTTAAAACAGTATATTTATAAAAACAAATATTTACCTAATTAAAAATAGAGAGATATTATGAATTTCTGTAACGTCAGCCACCAACAGAGACACTGTAATTAGGCATTCCAATGATCTGTCAAACAATAGCTCCCAGTGGAAAGGTCCCGTATATCTAAGGGGGTAGCGACATAGCCTTGGATCTTGGACGTTATTCTTATTCGAAATATTAGTCACTAAGCTTGCCAATTTATTAAAAAATTTACAATCTGTTTCTTTAAATAATATTTTTATTGTGTTCGACATAAAATATTTAAATGTAATCCATTATTCATGATTTTACGTATTGTAGATACAATATATTGTATGTTGCAACCCTTAGATATACCAAACGTTCCCACTGGCAATTCATTTGTTTGGAATGCCTTTTTATTAGAGACAAATAAATTTCATGCTAAAATAAAACTTATTGCAAATCTGAAGTTTTAACATTAGAGTCCTTATTCTTATACATATTTCTATCTAGGCTTTAGAAATGGCCATTTTAGAAGATTTAGATTATGGTGATGAGATTAAATATTTAATATTAAAAAACTTCGAACTGATACGAATGTCGGAGAGCGTACCCGAAAGCTAATAATAAAGTAGCTACTATTTGCTGCCCTTAAACATTCGCAATTAACGCAAGGCACTATCTTTAATAAAGTCAGTTCTAGAACCTAAAATAAGAGCGGGGCTAATAGTGGCTGATCTCAAGTAAACTTGCAATATCTCTTTAATATTCTCTAGCTCTAGTATGTCCTATACAGGGTGTTTCATTGGTAAAGGGAATCCCTTTAACCATGGATGGAGACCACCGAGGTGCTTCCAAATAACCCATACTTTCGACCTTTACAGCCGAGATACAGGGTGTTTTATCAATTTGGCCTATTTCTTTCCAGATTCATAACTTATTAACCACCCTGTATATGTTTTTGACATTTGGCGTACTTATTCACCGTAACTTACCAAATCTAAAAAGGTATAAACAAGAAACGAAATCTAGGTCCGTCTTTACAAAAAATTAATAAATTCATCCATCCTTAAAACAATATCCTGTATGTCTGAATTTGAAATTTTTGTTTTCATATTTGAAAAGAGCACAAAAAACTGAATCCAATAATGTACATTTTATTTTTGCGCAGACGATTTTACTACTGAAATTATAAGTCCAAATTGTTATTTTTGAGCATTTTGGAGGTACAAACTGGAAACGGACGGAGTTTTATTAATTTTATTACGGTATATTTAAAATTATTTAAAGAAGTATATTTCTAAAAGCTACAGATATGTCAATACTTATAATTGTATGCATCTACACCATTTCAAAAAATAATTTCAGGTCCGGTTTTAGGGCCAAAAATCAGAATTATTTTTTTTTTCGACCGCACCCTGTATAAATTATTCCATGTAATTTTTAATAAATAGTATATATATAACAACTAATAATACAAGGAAATACAAGTGTTGGAAATGAAGTAATAAACCTTATTGCTACTAAAAACTACAAGAGTTGTTCAAAATGACCTCCATTTTGTTCGATGCATTTTCTTGTTCGTTTTAAAATATGGTTGACGGCTTTTCTGAGTACATCGGGATTATTTTTCATTACTTCGCACGCGTTTTCTATCCTCCCAACTAGTTCTTCCCTACTATTTATGGGAGTGGAATATACTTTTGTTTTTAGATATCCCCAAACGTGGTAATCCAGCGGATTAAAGTCAGGCGATCTTGAAGGCCAGTGTATGTAGTATACGAAAGGAGGTATTTAGGACCTAACGTTACATTCGTAAATAATAAATAAGTATAATTATTTTATTATTAGATTATCTTATAGGCCTTGGAATTGGCATTTCACATTTTTATGTCATTTGTATATGCATCTTCTGTCAGTCATTATTGTTTTTTCAGTATTTTCCGTGATATTTTTTATTGTATTTGGTAATTATTAAAAATGCCATATCAATATACTAACGAAGAATACGCAGATATGATTTACATTTATGTTTTTTGTGATGGTAATTCTCGAGCTGCAAAAAGGGAATATGAATTGAGATTTCCTGGTCGAAGATCACCAAATTTTAAAAATTTGATTCGCGTTTTTAATTACATGAGAAGATATGGTAGATTCCCAACAGCTCAATTAAACGAGCATCGTGAAAGGCAGCATTTGAATGTGGAACAAAATATAAATATGGTTAATAATAATCCAGAACTGAGCACAAGGAGAATTAGTTATGCATTTAATGTACCTCATACCAGCGTATGGCGACGACTAAAAAAACATCGTTTACACCCATATCATATTCAGGAAGTACAGAGGTTAGAAGCAGGCGATGAAATTCCTAGAATTAATTTTAGTAGGTGGATCCTCTTAAATCGGCGAATTGTATGTAGATGCGTATTTACGGATGAGGCCCAGTTTACAAGAGACGGCGTGTTCAATTTACGAAACTTGCACATTTGGTCGACAGAAAACCCATTTGCTGTAAGAGAGACCCATTTGCTGTAAGAGAGACCCATTCACAATACAAATTTTCAGTAAATATTTGGTGCGGCGTTTTTGATAATAAAATTTTCCTAATACGTGGATAGGCAGAGGTGCTCCCAATCACTGGCCTTCAAGATCACCTGACTTTAATCCGTTGGATTACCACGTTTGGGGACATCTAAAAACAAAAGTATATTCCACTCCCATAAATAGTAGGTAAGAACTAGTTGGGAGGATAGAAAACGCGTGCGAAGAAATGAAAAATAATCCCGATGTACTCAGAAAAGCCGTCAAATATATTTTAAAACGAGCAAGAAAATGCATCGAACAAAATGGAGGTCATTTTAAACAACTCATGTAGTTTTTAGTAGCAATAATGTTTATTACTTCATTTCCAACATTTGTATTTCTTTGTATTATTAGTTGTTATTTTGATTTGTTTATTATGTATTAATTAGTTATTATTTATGTCTTTTTCCTTTAGTTGTAAATGTTATTATTTGTTCTACTGAATGTTAGTCTCTTTCCATATTATTATCCTACATACTATTTGTTAAAACTTACATGGAATAATTTATACAGGGTGCGGTCGAAAAAAAAATAATTCTGATTTTTGGCTCTAAAACCGGACCTGAAATTATTTTTTGAAATGGTGTAGATGCATACAATTATAAGTATTGATATATCTGTAGTTCTTAGAAATATACTTCGTTAAATAATTTTAAATATACCGTAATAAAATTAATAAAACTCCGTCCGTTTCCAGTTTGTACCTCCAAAATGTTCAAAACTAACAATTTGGACTTATAATTTCAGTAGTAAAATCGTCTGCGCAAAAATAAAATGTACATTATTGTATTCAGTTTTTTGTGCTCTTTTCAAATATGAAAACAAAAATTTCAAATTCACACATACAGGATGTTGTTTTAAGGATGGACGAATTTATTAATTTTTTGTAAAGGCGGACCTGGATTTCGTTTCTTGTTTATACCTTTTTAGATTTGGTAAGTTACGGTGAATAAGTACGCCAAATATCAAAAACATATACAGGGTGGTTAATAAGTTATGAGTCTGGAAAGAAATAGGCCAAATTGATAAAACACCCTGTATCTCGGCTATAAAGTTCGAAAGACCCATTAAGTATGGGTTATTTGGAAGTACCTTGGTGGTCTCCATCCATGGTTAAAGGGAGTCCCTTTACCAATGAAACACCCTGTATAATAGTTATGTGCTTAATATTAGATTGCAAAATTTGTATAGAAGTTAGCAGCCACTAATTCATTTGAATTGTAACTTTTTAAACACCTTTCTTTTTGGCTCCGTACCTACTTCATCTATGGCGATAACAATTTTTACAAATCTTCATATATGACGATACAGAGTCTGATAGATCTGATTAGAAACATTGTAATGCATTTTTAAAAATTGTAATAATAAAATTATTTAAAACTTTTATAGTAAAACAGTCAGACAATATTAATCTTTGGTCGTTCCTAGATCGACTGACTTCATTAGAAGATATTGATACGAGTAGGTAGATAATTAAAGAACCATGAAAAATGTATAACCCACAAACATAAAACATTTGTTATTAAGGTATTACATCGCCCCTTATAATTTTCGGACAAGCATATCTCAAAAAGTAATTTTTAAAAAAAATTGAAATTTTTGCAAAATAAATTAGGCAATAATATCTAAAATATGCATATATTTTAAAGTTTTAGTTCCTTTCAGTTTTCAAGAAAAAAAGCAAAAGGCTTTAAATTTTGAAATATGATGAAAATAAATGCATTTCTCAACAGCACTATTCCTAATATAATCCTCAAATTTAAACTCTTAATCTCTTGGTAATGATTATTTAAAATTCGCCCAAATTAGTGACTAAAACTCCTCGTTAAGTGCTATTTTCTGATGTAAACTGGTGTAAATCGTTGCAAGAAACGAATAATGACTCAGAGTGTACGATAATATAGT